GGAAGCACATAAAAGTTTACCATAATGGTGCCTTTCATTTGATGTGAAATGGACTCAAACAATGAGATTTAACGAAGGAAAACAAACTGGGCGCTTAAGCATGCAGTGGGTGCAAAAGCATCCATCATGTGCAGAGGCAACTACAATACGTAAAAGCATATGGCTCTTGAGCTGACAAAAGATTTTGTGCAGAAAGTTGAGTGCATAGCACCCATAGCAAAAACCATGATCTTTTGATCACTACCCAAGCGGCGGGTGCACAAGCATCCACCATGGGTGCTTGAGTGCCTAAAGAACAACTTGCGCCTCTTAAAGAGACCTAAATTGATGGATGGGAATTTTTACACTCAATCCCCAAAGGAGCTTGGTTTCTTTGCCATCCGTATGCTCACAACTTCATGTGGATGGTATTTTATTGATCCTTGGACTACTGAAGACCATCCAAAAGTAAATATATGTTCTTCTACATGAGGGTAGACACTAGGGGTGTGCCATATTAGGCGATGCCACCTGGGGCCAAGTTTGGCACGAACTGTTCGTAACCCAATTTTGCGTTGTGATGTCCGTGGGAATGTTTTCACTAATCTAAAAGCTATAGGAGACCATGTATCATTAAAATATGGCCGCATAACTCAAAAATAAACATTCTTTAGATTTTCATTCAGAGATTTTAGTGTCGAAAGATGTCCTAGGCCCTCACAGGTAGATCACTCCAAAATTTTACTTTTTCTGAAATGCTGGTAGGAGAGTTTGATGACCTCCTTGGCTCTCAAAGGATCTGAATATATGGGTAATGACATATAAATACCAAGATATACATTAAAAATGTCTCATGTCATAATTAATGTCACCCTTGGTGAATTCTCCAGGGTGGGACTAAATTAATACTAGCTCTAGTTCTGTACTCGAGGCACATACTAAATAGTCAGAGCGGATGTCCTAGGCTACGAAAAGCTGTAAACAATCCTGTAGCACTCAAGTGAACACCAACATATATGACATCCAAAAGTGATGCCAACAACTTTTTCACACTCGACGGTCCACTTAAAACTTTTGGCTTTCCTTAATACTTTGAAAAAAGCTGCACATTTATCTTCTGATTTATATATAAACCAGTTGAATCTAGCTATCCGAATAGTTAGCTTTTGAATTTCTTTAGTACTCCAAGGGAATGACATGTCAATGAGTGCTTGGATTTTCTTAGGGTTGTTATTTATGCCTTTATGAATTAGAAGATATCATAGGAATTAGTCTGTTGAGGCTGTGAATGTGCATTTTAAAGTGTTCAACCTCATGTTGGATTTCTTAAGTGTTTGAAAGGTTTTTTAAATCCTCTATATTTATGTGTGGCCAATCAACTCTTAACTAATACATCATCAATATACACTACAATGTTTTTCTCCTTTTGATTCACAAAAATTACAACCGTAAGGCACTGATAAGTCACCTTAATATTCTTCAGCCCAAAGGGCATTACAATATAACAATAAATTTCATCATTATTAGTAAAATAAGTAATTTTTGGTGTCAGTGGGGTGCATCTTAATCTGTTATTATCCAGAGAATGCATCCATGAAGCTTAGGACTGAGTGGCATACTGCCGAACCTACTAGTGCATCAATCCTATGCATCAGGTATTCATCCTTCAACATGTTGAATTTAGGTTGGTAAAATCAGCGCACATCCTCTATTTGTTATTATCCTTTTGCACCATCACAATGTTGAAGATCCACACGGGGTACTACACCTCTCAAAGATAGTTGCCGTCTTTCAGCTTCTGTACCTCCTCCCAGATAGATCCTGCAAGTGTTGTTGTTGATATTATGATATTTTGATTTACCAGTTGTGTTGATGGGTCAATGTTTAATTGATGGTACATCATGTCGATTGGTATGCTGCATCGATCAACAAGTCGAACATTTTTGCTACTAACCATGCAGAGGTGTCTTGATTTGCCCGGAGAGTCTGGATTAGCAACTCTCTGCATCCCGTATCAAAAGCTTCACTGAATAGGAAATATTTACCTGATTTTCTATAGATAACAGGGATCTCCAGAGTGATCTCATTAGTCTTGAGGCCCCTCCTCTTGAATTCTAGATATCCATGGGGTCATGTTCCACATTATTGATGACTTGAAGGTAGTGAACCCGTGATTGCTCTAAGTTTGCTCTAGCCGTGATGATTTCTTCATTTATCAGAAAATTCACAACAACGTGATAGGTAGAAACTGCTGCTCTGAAGTTATTCAAAAGCGGGTGGCAGAAGATGGTATTGACTGTTGGGGGAGAAGCAAACAAAATAAAATCCTCAATTAATGTGAATTATTTTCCATTTTCTCCTCAGGTAACCGCATGTCCTATCATTTCGAGTGCTTCTTTCCTCTCGCTTGAAATACCGAGTAGCGGACTGGTTGATGCAATCATTTGGTTGACTGACAGGTTCAGCTTGTCAAATGTTGGTTTAAACAACACATTGAAAGAGCTTCCAATGTCAATCAGGATGTTCCCTATTTGTTAGTTATTGATAACGACCGTCACCATGATACCATCATTGTACGAGTTCCCTTTTTTGGGCAGATCATTGTTTGTGAAGAAAATGGGTGGATGGCTTTTGGTTTTTGGGGAAAAAGTATTGATGCAAAGTTCTCTAGTTTGTTGCCTCTTTCGGTTGGCTCGTTGGGATGATTATGTTCCCCCAAATATGGTGGTACTATCCCAATTATATGAATGATCTTGGTGCTGTCCGACTCATCTGCTACTTCTACAATCGGGGCTTTTTCATGTCTTTGGGTTGCAACTTTTGGAGCTACGAACTATTTCAACTTTCTTTCCTTGATTAACTCAATAATTAGACTTCAAAGGTGTTTAAACTCCTCCATATCATGGTCGTGATCTATGTGGTGCTTTTAATACTTTCTGATGTCTCGAAAGAAAGCTTCGGCTCTGATCTGTGTTGTTTTTCTTGAAAAGTCATTTTCTTGGATGACGTCTATTATTTTCTCCATTGATACCCTCAGAGGAGTAGCTTGAGGGCCTTCGTGATCCTATCATGGTCATTCATGGCATTGAATCAGTTGCTCGTTATGCGTCCTCATATGACCCCTCGGGTCGATGTGACGACCTACTACATTGTTGTTGCAGGGATGATTTTTGTAACGCGGGCGGGCGGGTAGTCATGTGTTCTCCTTCGATTTCCACCTGCTACTCGGCAGTGGCCTTTTCTGAAGCCTTTAGTTTGAGAGCTTTGGATTTGAAATGTTTTCATAAGTGTTGTTATATTTGTTAACCATCCCTAGTAGTGCAACCAAAACTCAAAGGTTTTGTAAGGTTGAGGTTGGAGTAGAACCTCTTTGACTTCAATCTTTGGGTGTCAGAGTAGTCTGAGCCGTACTATTTTTCAAGTCTTTTACCTCCAACATTTCTCTATGAAAGCACACAATGAATGAGAGCGAACCTTCATTAGGTCCCTGCTTAAGTTTCTACAGGGATTGGGCACTCTTCTTAGGCATATGGGCACCACCGAACTGTGTTAGAAAAAGGCATTTGAATTCCACAAGATAGGTAATCACCCCAACCGGTAGTGCGTTAAAACATCTCAGAGTTGATGAACACAATGTAGTAAATAATATTCAACATTCAAATGTGTCATAGATCTTTAACAGGCACACCGATGATTCGAAAAATGCTAGGTGGTCATTGGGATCTGACTGTCCCTTATAGAATTCCAAACTGAGACTTTGATTTTCTTCGAGGGTCCATCTCCCGAGATTTAAAGGGAGAAAGCGTTCTCTGGTTGTCGTAGCACTTAATCTTGCTCAAACTGTTGTATATCCACTAGTAAGACGGATCTGGCGTCGTCTCAGTACAACACATCCTCAACTCTATTTGGGGCATGATTCAGTCTCCTCACATTTTGCGCCGTTGCTCTTTCTCGGAGAGGGTTTTGTGCTTCTCGCTGAACACACTATCCTCCTAAAGCTATGATTGCTCTTATAGTTGTGACCGTTCTGAGGACCTCTGCAAAATGTCTTGACATATGGTTTGTGATTTGAGTCCTCAAGTCCTACAGTCCTCAATGTACAAACTCTTCTACAAACTCCTCAAGCATCCTATTTCTCTCTAGTCAGTCTTTTGCTGTTGTGCTCCTTTTCTTGTTGACAGCATGATTCCACGCTCACCGCACCTAAAAGGATATTGGATCCGAAAATTTCTGGGAAGCACACCCAAAGAGTAAAGCTTTATAGAGAGAAAGAAGACAAAGAAAAGACGATTTTAAATAATAAAAGCGCGTAACCCTTATTCAAAAATTGACCCCCTATTTATAAATATAGGGGTATGAGTTTTAGAATTATAATTATGCCCTGTGATCATTAAGTCTCTGACGGGGTTCTTTTAGTACATTACATGTTTTAGATATATTAAATGATAAATTTGTTGATTCGATCAGTGTAGGTCCCAACGATTGGTGGTGTGCAACTTATTGATTTCCCTCGATCTAGCTCGTCGTTGCTCCTTGGTTCGACAGGTTAGTTATGGCTAGTCGTCAGACATTTTAGTTGCACGTTCCCTAGGCTTGGCTTCAAGGAGCTCTTCTTGCACTAGAGTTTGTCGACCTGTAGACATATTCCTCCATTGATTCGTCATTTAACTTGACTGTTGGATTACCTCGAGATTCATGCTAATTTTTTTTTTTTTTTTGTATACATTAATAAAATTAAAAATTTGAAGTGATACATTAGTATAATAAAATAAAAATCCAATAATCTAAAACAACCTAGCACTATAGCACTTAGAATAACCTTAGGCCCACTTTTGGTGAGATGCGCACTATTTAAACCTGTGAATAAGAATATATTTAAACCCATTTTGGTAACTGCTCACAAACTGCCGGCAGGTCGGATCATGACTGCCGCACGAATCTTAACACAGACGCGTCAGACGGCCGGCTAGTTGGAGTTCGACGGACGCCCAACGAAACGGAATGAGAACCCCTCTGTCTGCTACCTCTGTTTCTTGCTCTCGCTCCTTTGTTCTCCTCCCTCTTACCAACGAGATATTTCAACGAGATCTCAGGGAGCAAGCGAGCAAATACTTCAACACAGAGAAAGAGAAAGAGAGTGTGTGTGGTCGGACGGAGGGAGGGAGGTGGGAAGGGAGATGGGTTCATGGATGAAAGCGGAGGAAGCAAGAGCTTTCAAATGCCTCCTTGCGCTCGCGCTCATGTACGCGATCATGGCGTTCGCGGCGTACACTGTCGTGCACATGAGCTACGTCCGCCCACTTCCGGAAGACGCATCTCCCGCGCGGTTCTCTGAGGGCAGGGTGCTTAGTCATCTCCGCCGCCTCACCGTTGACATAGATGGTCGCCAGGTTATCCAATCATTGAGGTTTGGTCTTTTGAGATTGGATTTCGGGGTTTTGACCTTATTCTTGGGTTTGGCAGGAGGGGAGGCCGGGGTTGGAGGAGGCGGCGCAGTACATTAAAGGAGAGCTGGAAGCTATCAAGAATCGGTCTGGGCCGGAGTACAGGCAAGTGGAATGACTAGCGTTGATTTGAATTTGAAGTGTTTGTTGAAGCAAATCGATTAGAGCAATACGCCTTAAATAAAGTTGGATTCATTGGACAATTTTGGAACATAGTTTGTTTTGCTTTGCTTCTAATGAAAACCACGTTTTTAATTTCCAGGCGATGATTTGTATTTGTTCCTAATCGTTTTGACATACCAAGAATTAACTAAAAAAAAAAAAAGAAAGAATTAACAATGCTGCCCTGTGTTGCCCTGTGTGTGAGCCCATGCTTTTATGATCTTGTTTTGAAGCCTTACAATATAATATAATAAGAGTGTTTTACAGTTCACTGAGAGAAGTAGTTATTTGATTGTTTTTTGGAAATTTCAGGATTCCTATAAATCTGCACTAAAAAATGGCAAGCTTATGGGTTAAAATTACACGAACTTTTAGCAAACTATCAGAATTCCTATAAGCTTGATAGTTGAGAGAAAAACAAATATTATGTGAGCTTCAGCTAGTGCTTGAGAGTTGAAATCACACGAACTTTTAGCAAAGTTTGCAGGTTTTGAAGGCTTGCTTGGGGGCTGTTTAGGTGCTGAAATGTGACAAGTTTCAATTGAGTTTGGGACTGTTTATGTGTAAGTTTGGAGCTGGTTTAGAATAGGATTTCAACCTATTTGGAGAGTGATTTCAGCAAGGTTTAGTGGTTGTTTGATAGTAGAATTTGAGAAATTTTGAGGCTATTTTGTTTCAGAATTTGCAATGGCAAGCTTTTTCAATTCAATTCAATTAGATTGATTTACATACATTCCACCCAACTCTTATGTTTTTACATATCTAACACCTAAATTTTGTTGTCTACATTTATATCATTCAAGTCTTTCTTATCACAAACTACTTTTCTAACTTGAAATTGAGATGCATCTTTTCATGCATGAGGTGGTATGTTTGTAAAAATTGAAGCTTAGGTGTTAGATATGTAGAAACAAAGTCTAGATATAGATAACAAGTTATGTATCCTTGAATATTAGGCGAATATCCAATTAAAAGCTTGCAATAATAATAATTTGGAGGATGACATGCGTACTAGGAAAAAGTGGTATGTCTGTAAATCTTCCTAAATAATATGATCATTTTGTCCAGTTCCTCGATAATGATTTTTGAATTCTACAAACGAACATGAATATATTTATCAGTTAACATAAGTAAAACTTGACTTTGGTTACTTACAAGAAGTAAATGGTTGAAGTTTTGTAACTAATATTGTATTAATATGATATTAATATAAGATAATATAATGAGAAAAATGTATGATGCGCCACCAGAGCTACATCCATATAACTTAGAATTATTGAAGCAATTCTTCTGCCACCAAAGTTAGCATACTCTATTTAAACTAACCTTGTAATCTTATTTATGTAAATAGAGTACGAAAGATTTACCCACACACTACTCAATTCTCATGCATTTAAATTAGATATGTTTCACCTTGTAAAATGGCAACATATCAAAGTAGAATTTAATGAATCATGAAAATTATTTTGGAATTTAATAAACATAAAATCAACATCTATAATATATATACTTTGATAATGCACACATGTATGTGTGTGTGTCTATATATATATAATGAATTAATTAATCAGAATATATTTATTCATGTATTATATATATAATATTTAAAAGATTTAAAAGAATTTGAATTTTGGAGGGTTTGAAAACTGATTTTAAACTTGGCCAATTTGAAAATAATTTGCGTGCCTGCGCGTGCGCATGTCTATATATATATATATATTGTTTGAAACTTAATTTAGACATAGTATGACATCAATAAATTATGATATTTTCAGCCAATATAAATTATTGAAAGATAGGATTTGTAGCTAGTATTATACAAAGTTTTCTTTGCTATCTAACTTGTTGGATCCAAGTGGACATATTCCTCTACTGTTTTTTCTCGCAATTTGTTTTTTTCTCTGAACTTCTAGTATTCAAAGTTTTCGTTGCCATTAATTCAAGTTTAGGATTTATAGCTCAATGAAGATGAAGAAATGTAAGTGGTTTAGCATATTCATTTCGTTATGTCAATGAATGAGAATGTTGGTAAAAAGATATGGCTAATGGCTAATAATCAATAGAGTATGAGCAAGTTTTACTTACTTGTACTTGCAATTACAAGTTTAGATTGGTTTGAACATAACTTGTACTTCTGTTAATTTTGTATCCAGCTATCTCATCTTCAAATCCCTCTAATTTTGGGTTGGTTCAAATGTTACTTGATTTCTGCATGACTCAAATATATTTTCCGTAAACTCAAATTTTAAAAATATAAGCTTCCTTTCAAATTTTACTCGATTTCTGCATGCTCATATAAGCTTGATAGTTGTCTGAGTTGTGGGATTAATGCAGCAAATCAAATGAAATCACTTTTTTTGTTTTAGTTCATTTAAAATATTTTAACTTTGCCCGTGTGTTTTGTATGACTTATATTTAAGTCATTAAGGATATGTATAATAGAGTTGTTACTTTTGTTCGAATTGAAGGAGGATTTACCAAATATTTTCCTATTTCAGTTGGATTACATCAGAGATCGGCTTTAAGTCCATATCCTTTTGCTTTAATTATGGATGGTCTTACTGGATATTTACAGGAGGATGTACCTTGGTGTATGCTTTTTGCTGATGATAACTTTCTTGTGGATAAAATGAGAGAAAAAGCTCAGGAAAAACTTGAATTATGGAGGTCTACATTGGAGTCTAAAGGCTTTCATTTGAGTAGAACTAAAACTGAATACATGAAATGTAATTTTAGTAATAGTAGCTCTAGTGACAGAAGTGTAACTTTGGGTAATCAATTTATTAAAAGGTTTGAACGATTTTAATATATCGGGTCTGTTGTTCAAAGCGATGGTGATATATATGAGGATGTTAATAGTAGAATTTAAGTTGGTTGGTTGAAGTCAGGAATGCTTTAGGCCTTTTGTGTGATAGAAAAGTACCGCTTAGACTGAAAGGAAAATTTTATAAGACTGTGATGAGACCTGCAATGCTCTATGGTGCTGAATGTTGGCTTTTAAAAGGGAAGCATAATACTAAGTTAAGTGTTGCTGAGATGAGAATGTTAGGTGGATGAGTGGCTTTACAGTTAGAGACAAAGTGCTAAATGAATATATCCATGATAGGGTTGGTGTAGCTCCTGTGATGGACGAAATTAGAGAAAATCGTCTTAGATGGTTTGGTCACATTAAACGTTGACCATCTGATGATCCGATTAGGAGAGTAGATGTTTTAGATTCGACTTATGTTAAGAAAGGCAGAGGTGGACCTAGGAAGACTTGGGCTTGTTGTATAAAAAGTGATCTTAATTTATTAGAACTAAATAAAAATATGACACTAAATAAGACGCAATGGAGAAAAAAGATTCATGTAGCCGACCCCACGAAGTGGGATTAAGGCTTTGTTGTTGTTGTTGTTGTTGTAGTGTTTGTTGTATGACCATTTTAAAATTTTCTTATGAATAATGTGTTTTGTTGTTACTCATGACTTGTAATTCACGTATGGTGATTATTTTATATTTGAGACTTAGCCACATTCATATTTCAGGGTTGAGGTTGATGAGGCATTGGTTAGTGGTTCCTTCAACATGATATTTTTGCGTCACAGCATTTCTCTTGCATACAGAGGCCATAAGAACATTCTTTTGAGGTAATTTCATCACTGAATGCTTACTTGATTCTATTTAATTCTTGGATACTTTAACATATATATATATATATATATATATATATACCTGTACATGAAAAGATATAATTCATTTTTTAAAAGTTAAAAGTGATGCTTTTGATGTGATATGGAAATTTTAGACGGTCTAAAAGGAAAAAAAATAAACTTTACATGTTAGCTAATCGGGTGGTATGTATGTAAATGTCCCTAGAAAAAATTAACAGGTAGATTATGTAATACAACAAATGGATGATGAGAGAGAAAAGTTTAATCATGCTATAGACATTTCAGCAAAGTAGCCACTATGTTATTGAGTTTCCTATATATTGTTTGATGTTACATCTTGTGCATACATATGAATAAATTTTTATGATGAAATATTTTTTCCATTATTTTATGCAATTACCTTGCATTAATGGTATTGAGATTGCCTAAACAATTTCTCATCCAGTGAAGAAGTTAATGGAAGGTTGTTAGCTCTTGTTTATTTATTTATTTTTTTTGTGTTTTGATAAGTTTGAATCTCTTAAATTGACATGCTTATGTTCTTACTGTATTTTATCTGTTTTAATTAACTTTTATGGCTCTTCTTTATTTATTTTTTGTTTACAAAACAAAAATCAAATATAATTTTGAATTGCTTTTTTGTGGGATTCATGCTTGAAGGTTAGTGATTTGTATTTGCTCACCCCTTCATACATCTTTGATCGATTAGTATATATCCATGGATTGTTTAATTTGCAAGTTTACTTTTTTTGCAAGTTATCAAGGACTGTACCCTACCCTATAGTGGTTACTTTGCAGGATTGCTTCAAATTCTTCAAATGATGATGATCCATCTGTTCTGTTGAATGGTCACTTTGACAGTCCAGTTGGATCTACAGGTGCAGGAGATTGTGGTTCTTGTGTTGGTAAGTGTTGCTGATGATATTCCCACATTTACATGCCATTGTTTACAAAAAAAAAATCAAATATAATTTCCGATTGATTTAGCATTTTTTTTACTCCAGCTTCTATGCTTGAGTTAGCAAGACTCGTGGTTGACTCAAATTGGATTCCACCCAAACCAATAATCTTTCTTTTTAATGGCGCAGAAGAACTGTTCCTTTTGGTAAAGCAATTGCATATTCATTTTCAAATGTGGTTTATGATTTCATTTGCTAGTTTTTTTCTAATTTCACTTGGTGGATCATTTTCATTTAATGATTATGATGCAATTCAAATTTTTTTTCTTCTTATTAATCTTTCTGTTTCTGATATATTTAATGCTACAGTGTTATTCTATTATAGCTGTCCCTGCTAATACACGCTACTTGAAATAATTGGCTCTTAACTTTTGCTAAAATAACCGACTAACATTGTTATACATTACTAAGAATAGTGCTCGTGTTTTATTCCATTTAATGTCATTTGTAATTTATGGAGTATAAATTCTTTGAAAGGCATTAATCCAATTATTGTAGGACTTGCAAAGATTTTATTTGCTATATTCTTCGTGAAACATTTAGTAGAAATGAATGAAAAAATGATGATTCATTAAGACTATCCCAAATATTTGGGATCAATGATGAAGATGATTTCCAATCCTTTGAAGTAGTTTTTTTCTTGTTTTATTCGGAAACTTTCAACTTTAATATACCATCATTTTAAAGTGACCAAATTTATATTTCCATTTAAACTTGCACTGTTTGAAGTTATAACATCCACCTGGAGATATTTTGGTTTTTAAAGAATAGTACAAGAAATGTTCATGATCCAAAATAATTTTTTTAAGTTGGATTAAAAATCAGGTCGGCATGAAAAAAATATTTTTTTTATTTTCTTGTGTGGAACTTGTGAGGTTGATTGAAGTTCCTTGATCAATAAATTATTTACTCAATAAATAAATGCAATCTTAACTCAATGGAAGTGGTGATTGTGGTTGTAACATCTTTTCTTTATATTAGTAATTGCTGTAAGGCTTTTTCCTTCTTATGCCTCTATGGTAAAATAGAAATGATCTGTAGCTATAGAGGTTATTTAGTTTGATATCGTCAAATTTCCTCATCTATAGAAGGCGAAGAACAATAGATGAAAAGAAGGTAAAAGAAGAAGTCCAAGGCTAGAACTTTGAAGTGAACTCCTTGTAAAGTACTTTTAAACTTTTCAGGAGATGCTAATATATATAATTGAAACAATAATCAATTCCATATAATTAATCACATTTAATATGCCAACTCATCAAGGCCAAATTTAGATTTTTATAATGCTATTTTTCTTATTCTTTTCTAATTTATGCAAAGAGATGAGAATTTGGGAATTAATGCACCTCCATGATCTCTTTGGCCAGGTAATTCAAGTCTTTCGTGAACTGGCTCAATCAAGTTTATAAACACTTAAACCAACTAACTAGGAACCATAAGGTCTTCTAAATCAATTTACCAAAAAGCTAAAGTTGCTATGGAAGAAAATCAATTGATAAGCTCAAAAATTGATGTCTTTTAGTTGTCTAGGGCACTCACACATTTTGGATAAACTCATCCATAGGACTCAACCATTGAAATCAGTGAAGCATCTTAAAGTTACACCTAAATCAGCATGATATACCAGAAAGTCATCAAGGAGTCATCCTTAATGATCTCATCCTTTATTTAAAATCTGTTAATCTCTGTAGCTATATAGTTACAAGCTAATTTGATTCATTCATTTTAGAGAAAGCACTTCTAAAGCCTTATCATGTAAATTACTTGTATGCATCACTCTTGGAGCAGCGTTAATAAAGTTCAACCTGAACTTATAAATAAGAGGTTAGATATTGAGTTTGACAATTAAGTCCACTTTAGCATAAAATTGTACCTTCCTAACAACAACAATCTAGTTTGATTCCTAGAGCTTCTTTCTTTCTCTCTTTCTCCTCTTCTTTTTCTTCTTTTTTTCTTGAGCTTAGTTCATAATTGTTAGTTAAATTCTAATGTTCATGTCTCATGATAATCTCTTTTGATCATACATAAGATTTGACATAGGTGGGTACAATTTATTTGATTAGATCTACCACTAACGCCCTTCCGGGCTTATATCTATCATAATAGAGTAGGTGAAAGTCGATCACTTGAATGACCCAAATTTATTTATCCAACTTATTCTTAAACTCACAAAGATCCAATAAGATATGAGTTCATTATTCAAAGGCATTCCAAAATATTATAATCATTCATTTACTAGGCTTTTAGTAAACCTCAGAGTTTATATAAACATAAATTGAAACTCGTAATATACACTATCTTAAACCCTAAACCCTTGACAAACCCAATCAAGGTCATATTTAGGTCGTCCAAAGTTATTTTTGACCTTAGCCTATTTCGTTAGGAGAGATAGTCGATCCAGCCCGACTGACAAATTCTTATATATAAATGTGGGAACCTTATAGCTTATAATGGATGTTTGTTGAACGTGTGATTTTAAGTCAATCTTTGTTTTTAGAAAGTTTCAAGCTCTATCAAGTGCGTTCAATTATTCACCACTTTGGGGGTTTTGGTCATTGGGGAACTTATGAATTTTTGTCGCGATTATAATTTAGTTGTGTTATTTTAAGGTGAACTATCTGGTCAGATGGCCTGAGTTATAATTGTACCTTTTGTGCTGCTATTTGATAACAAAATCACTCGACTAGAAGACATGCTACTCCTTTTTTAGTGTGGAATTTTTGGGAGTGATCTTAGAGAAATGCCTAAATGACACCGACTTTTGGAATTTGAAGTTAATTTTAAAATTTTCATCTTTGACAAATTATTGTGAAGGATGGTTGAATGTTTAATTTATATGTTGTGTTGTGGATTTCACTTGAACTTTTTAGATTTCACAAGTTTTTTGAATTTTCATATTTTTCTTGTAATTTAAAAGGATTTTACATTGAAAATTTGCGGCATTCTGTTAGTAAAGATCCATTTTTGTTAATATTTTCTCTCAGTGATGCCATCAATGACATATTTTGGATTGTCTTACATTTTGTTAACTTTACTTGCTTGCTCTCAGAGAATTGTCGGTCAACTTTTTCGATAGATTTGAAAATATGGTATATGAAAATAATTTTTGAAATTTAATTTAATATAATAGGTATATAGTTTGAGTTTTAAAAGCAGTATATTTTAATTTTTGAAAAATGAGACCAAATGGATCTCATTAGTCAAATAGTTTGCATAATCGTGTCTGACATCGCGAATATTACACTCTCCCGAAAAATATGTGTAAACCTCGGCGATAGACCCAATCCTACAAATTAAGAGATTTGTGACATCCGTTTGGTCTGCGAACCTTTTTTATGTATGACCGACAAGTTCCCCTATTTAATACAAAGATTAAATAGAGTTTATTTTATCTGGGTTTCAAGTTCCCTATAGAGGCAAACCCCTATAGTTAATTACATCCCAAATGACATGAGTTACTTGAGAAAACTCTCGATAATGATCAATGGTTCTAGTCTTCAAGAATTCAAGGTTCAGGTTTTCAAGGCTTCAGGTTTTCAAGGTAGGATGAGGAAAATCAAGTGGGAATGACTCAATGAGGAACATTTATTTTCAAGAGTCCAAAGGAAGGAGAAGGTAGAGGATGTCACTGATCCGAGGTAAATCTCGATGACTTCCCAGACTATCCTACGGTGTGACTACATTTTTGGAGACAACGTTAATTAAGTGTTTGATCTTGCCAGTTTTATTATTTGGGACTTAAACTTGCATAATGTCTGATTATGCAAATAGTCGACAGAGATATGAGGGTTTACGTCGTACCGTACGACAACCTCAGAACCTACGTCGAGTTAGGACTTATTCTGCACAACATGGTTGCATAAGAGCCTAAAAAAAGGGAGTGTGAGGATTTACGTCGCTCGAGGCAAACCACGCTATCTCGAAATCCTATGGGTTGTTATCATACTAGGAAGGGATAATGCTGAAGAAGATCCTCTTACTGCTCGGTCTGAATTCCTCGTCGTGCTGCTCTCAAAGTTGACTCCAAGCTCCTATCGTCGTGACAACTCCAGGGTTTAAGTGATTGAGATTAGTAGTTTGTGCTTCACAATTTTGGTGTCAATATTTAATTTTGTTTTGTTTCAATTTTGATTTTGCATGCAGAGTAGTCAAATTGCAGGTAAATAAAAAGTACTTCAAAGATAAAATGCAGTAACGTAAAATGCTGTAGATAAACTGTAAAAACGTACCTGGGCATCTGCTACTGTTGCGTTATTAATGTTGCGAGCATAATATGATTTGCAGCAGATTTAAATAAACTTGCAAGAAAATTAAACAAGGCGAGAAAACCCAACGCGAAAGTCAGAAAAATGAGTTGTAAAAATCACAAGCAAAAGAAACCTTTAGCCACATATGAAAGATCAGGACTGGGTATAAGACATTGGTAAAAGTAGGAGGCTCAGAGCTAGGCTGTGTGCTTCCCGATCTTGAACAAGAGTTACCAGCCCGACAATCTACGGAAGGTAGTCTTTAACCTCAATCCAAGCGACTAGCCGTGGACCTTTATAAATTTTCATAAAAAAGATTCTTTGATTCTCATGCAAAAGTTGTTTTAAGTCCTTTTTTATACAGAGTTCTTTTAATCATGCAAAAAAAAAAAATTGTTTTATTTTTATAAATATTTTGTAAAGTCGTACAGTCCACAGACTAGTCACTCTAATCGTGTTAGAACTACTGACAACCTAAGAGTGTCGGGGGCAACGATCACATCAAGAGTCGATGAATAGTATCATGGATCCTTTCCTCTCCCTTATAGAAGGTCCTCGAGGTAGTACCCACAATAGGTTCTAGTATATGTGAAGTATGAGTTGCCTCTACACCGGATATTTCCGGAAGAAGTGGAGCTACGAGGTTCTCCTGATTATCAGTTTGAATACTATCATTTGTAGGTAATAGTCCATCAATATTGTTTTCTATGGGATTTGATGGTGTGAGCATCAAATCACTCGCAGTAGCAGTAACAAGAGTGTCATTGGGGGGGGTCCTAAGGGGCAACGAACACCTCCTGTCTGGTAGTATCCTCTCCAGGTGTAACTAAAATGTTCAGAGCAGTGAGGTTTGACCCATCCTTATTCACTTGAACCTTAGATTTCAAATTTGGATGAAACTTGTGGCATTTATCAAGGACATGACCAAACATCTTACAGTGGGTACAATATGGGGGTCTGTGCTCCATGTCGATTTGTTGCCAATAACCATTATGGGTTGTGCCCAACCAGACTTCAGTAACATCAGGTAAAGTAACATCCCTTTCCACAAGTATTCTAGCCACCGAGGGTCTGGTTAGATTGAAAGTAGGCAGATCTAGTTTCAAAGAATCCCCAAGGATAACCCCAATAGAGTAGAGAACCTGATGGTGAAAAAAATGATGAGAGTCTCATGATTTGGGTCGAAATCAGGATACCACTTGAGTAGCTTCATAGGTTTACCAGCGATGTTAAGATATTTTCTGGAGAAAATCCGAGTGTAGTCCTTAGACACGGTTAACTGAATCAATACATGTTTTCCATCCATGAGCCATACTTTTCACTTTTCTATTAATTTGAGGTCATCAAAATTTTTCCTAATAATTTTCATAGATGAGTGTCCCCACTGAAATTTTCCAATAAGAGCAAATTTGAAGTTGTCAGTCAGCATTAAAATTTCTGAGGTGGAGAAAAAGAGTGTTGACTTCCCACTTTTTCTGCTTGCATTCTTAATAAAGGAACAATCACCTGTACCATCACGATGCTCCTTATAACTTGAACGGAAGACAACCGCCGTCTTCCCCTGAGAAATACCCACCACGTAGACAAAGGAGGAGGTTTTACCAGGTTCAACTGGAGAAGAAGGAAACTTCATCACAGCAAAGAAAAGCCTTGCAAGTCGGGCAGAAACAAAAAAGACAAGCCGAAGAGCTGCGCAGGAATCATAGATGAAATGCACAAAAGACGGAAGACAGGCAACGAAGTCACAACTCGGCAGAAACCGCAGCTTGATCTGCGCAGAAAAGAACCGCAAAAGCTCGAAGGCTAGCTGGAAGGCGCAAAGGAGGAGACGACGAAACCGCAGAAGCAGACGCCGAAGCCCTTCGTCGTTTGGCTCGAGAGAGAAGACGAAAATTCGTCATTGTCGTCGAGTCAGGAATCAAACCAGGGTTTCGTCGTCGGGCAAAACCTTATCAGAGCGAATCGCCATCGCTAGCGTGTATATATATACATATATATAGAAAGAGCTACTCATGGCTATTTACCCGTTAATAACAAAGACGGTTATATATACTCACACGCGCGCGCGCTAACACATACAACTTTTAATATTTTGAAATCTTTCTTTGCACAATTATTTTTAATCATGAGGGAAAGTGAAGCCAAAATTGATTACTGAAAACCAAGAATCTTTGTAAAGTAGCCCGCATCCAACATGGATGCTAGGATTGAAAGCTGGGTGATATCATCTTTATTAGAATAGGCTTTTACCAGAATGAGTGATGTTTCTCTACGTCAAAAGTTGGCATTTTTAATGACCTGTTTTTCTATGCGCTCATAAGTGGTTTAAATCATTTATGTTTTTATTAATTTATGATGGCGAATGGAGGCTTCTTTGCTGTTGATATTCATATAATGGCTTCTGGTGAGATCTCTCATTTAGCCTGAGTCAGTACATGTACTCAATAGATGTGTTCTAGGTTCTAGCATTAAGGCAGAGAAAGCGGCTGCAAAATTTATTTTTGGTATATACATACACACCACATAATCCTTATGTATTTACTTATATAAAACCTAATTTAATATTTAGATTCGTAGTGCTCAAATTTTTACCATCACATCAAGAATACCACTTCTACTTACTTTTTAAATGTCAAATGCACCATTTTATGCATAGATTTATAGCACCAAGTTGTTATAATCGTAAATATAAAACTTCAGGTGTTAGATATGTATATCCACAAGAAATGTGGCGCATGTATGTAAAATTCCCAATTTATTTAGGCATGAGACTTTAACAATTTAAGTACTTCCTTATTATTACTATCTTGCTTTCCGAGTGTATGTACTTTTATTTTCTACAATTCACCTGCTTCTTGCGGCCTTGTATGAAAATATAACATTATGATTAGGGTCTTTTCCATGGAAATAATATACCCCTACCAGTGGAAAAAAATTACCCCCACCAATGAGGAATCGTATTTCTTATGTCCATTCTATGTATTTTTCATATTAAGACATTTCCTTATGTCTTTTGAGGTGATCAAAATATTTTATTGGATTTGATCTATTGCCATTTTTTTTAAGCTAAGCCCGATAAGTTACTATTTTTAGCAAAAAACAATTCTTCCATGTATTTTTCCTATGCTCTGATTAGAATGTCCTGCTCGTGTTCATCAGTTTTTATATTGCTGGAGTGTTGTTTTATTTGAGCATTGTGGTTTTACACAAAGCCCGACTGTGTGACTAACAGAAGATTACTCCAAAACTGAAAGAGAGTAGTATCCAATAAAGCTACTTGATGGATTTATTTGGATTTCTGTTTGTCAACTCGTCTTCTTCTCTGATTTTTCCATATGTCAATACATTTCAGGGGTCTCATGGATTTGTGAAGACGCATAAATGGAGAGATACAGTTGGGGCTTTTATTAATTTAGAGGCATCTGGGACTGGTGGTCTTGGTATGTTTAAAAACAATATTTGCTTATTCTATGAAATGTTTTTCTTAAGCAAGAACACAAGTATTATTATCAATGAATGGAAAAGAGTACAACACTAAGCAATGCAAAACATGGCAAACTGAAGATAACTTTGGGAAATTTGCATACATACCGTACAATTCTTCTCTTAGATAACTTTGTTTTGTTTGGACTAATTGAATTTTGTTGTTGAGTTTCTTATAATGAATATCTCTAATCTGATAAGAGATGGCAATCTTTTTTTTCTTTACCACATGATTGAAACAAAATGGGATGTTTGTTACCAGTGAATCTAAATCATTTGAAGAATGTAAGCTGCATGATTCACATAAAGAAGCTCAATTGGCACTTGGTTCTTAAATGAATAACTTTAAAATTGCTTAGGGAAATCTTGTATTTTCTGAATGATTTCTTTATGCAAGCATAACCAGATTGTAAGTCTAAGAGCTCTAAGAATTGGGAGTGACACGGGCGTCATAGGGGGAAGCAAAATCTTGTCTTGTATGCGGGACTACTGCAGCCGAAGTGTCTCATTTTTGTGTCTAGATCGAACCGGTCTAGTTTTTTTGCGTGGTGTCGACCGATGTCACAACTCAACTGCCACTCCAAAGTCAACTGAGATGCTACAAAGCCGGACTATTCGATCAAACTAAATTCTTCTCAACACTTGTTCTATACTGCGAAATCATGACCCAATAGGTGATAAACTAGTCTACCTAAATCACCGCAAATATACTTAATTTATTTCATTCTTTAATTCATCCATATGCATATATACTCGGAAGTATGAAATATTATATCACCAAAACATATATTTCTATACAGAGTTGTTAAATCCAATATAATAAAAGTACATACTCAAAAGCTGTATAATTCATACCTGGGTACTTGTCCCGGTGCTTCTTACTCTTTTCTGAAAGTCAACAACTTAGAATAAGCAACAATGAGCTCAACAAAATAATCAAGACAAATAATATTTTATAGATGAAAAACAAAACATGTTTGCTTATATGTAACTCGTGTACATGTCCATAACGCATGCTACAACATGTTATAATCATATAAAATATGTAAAAGAAAATGCATGTAATGTAGGGAATCATGACTGTTGTACAAAATATGTATTCTATCCATTCATTTGTAATCATAAACATATTCATAAGATTATCCATTCATTTGTAATCATAAACGTATTCATAAGAGTTATTAGCCTGATCATAAAAATGTCACTTGTAATTATATATGTTTCAACTTATTTTACATGTCCATAATGCATGCTATAATATACTATAATCATATAAAATATGTAAAATAAAAGATATGTAATGTAGGAAATCATGACTAATGTACAAAATATGTATTACATCCATTCATGCGTAATCATAAATATATTCATAAGAGTCATCAACCTAATCATAAAAATGTCAATTGTAAATGTATATGTTTCAACTATTTTCACATTTGTCATGTCTTTGGGTCGTCACCCAGCCTGAAGACCAAATTAACTATCGATAAAGATTGGGTTCTCTCTACATAATCAATAACTCTCAGGTACCAACGGTTTCCTACATTGTCATATTCTGATATCAATAGTTCTTGGACTTTCATCTCTGTTTGAATACCAAGTGACGCGGAGCTCGTGGGGGACTGACTGGTCCTTTTGGAGGGGCGCCTCACCGCCCCTTCCTTCCTCCTTTCATTTTTTTCCCTTCCTTTTTCTTTCCTTTCATCCTCTTACTTTTTTTTCTAGGCTTTTCCTAATTTAATTCCTTTCCTAAAAATCTAAATTCTGATTTCATTCTCCTTAATTTAAATCTTTCCTAAAATCTGAGAACTTGATTTTATTTTTGTTTTCCTTTCTTAATTTAAATGATTCCTAATTTAGGCTCAAATCTTTTATATGTAGGAGTTGAAGAGTCTAAGGTTAAGGGTTTTGATTTTGAAATCTGAATTCAAGGTTTACCTTTGGTATCTTCTCTTCGAGAACTATATCCGACATTAAGGTAGTGTTACGACTGTCCCTCGTTTGAGGTAGTGATTATCTCCACGGGTCTGGGTGGTGCTCCGGCTGTAGCTCGACCCCATCGAGATATTTATATTTCCTTCCTCCTTCCCTTCCTGCTGTCTACCATACTTTCTGCAGCTTCCTGCACCCAACCATCATCGCTACAGATCCCCTTCCCCTTCCCTACCACCTCACCATCCCTATTGCCCACCTGCGGCCAACAGGAAATTTATTAGGATTAATTAAAGTTAATTAAGTTTATACTTATAAGAATTTATATCTCCCCAAATAATTACAATTCATTCATAGTGTATACATCAAATTGATCGATTTGACGTATATAATTTTATAAAATCGCTTCAATTAAATTTTGGTGGATGTGAAATTTGGGGTTTACCTTAAAATTGCCAAAACTGGGTGTTAAATGCGGTCTTCTTGGGTCACTCATAGTTATCCTATTATTATATAGTTATTTAGGTTTAGAGTATTGGTGTGTTATTTGTCGAGACAGCCGCCACCATCTTGGTTTTTCCTTTCGATGGCCGAAACCGAGGTTTTGAGTGGTGGTTCGACTGTATATCGCTTCTGAGGTGGTGATTATCTTCTCCATCCCCTTCCACATTTTCGCCACGTCACTCTCAGCCACCCTCCATTGCTGTAGCTGCCCCCGAAATGCAGCCCATTGCTGTTTTCCTTGCAGTTTTTCAATTCCAGTCGCATGTCCTCGCTGCAGCCTTCTTGCTGTCCCGTGGTTCGCTGCATCCCCTGTCCCTGCCTTCGTCATTCCCTTTTGCCGCGGCTACCCGGAACAATGTGTATTTGTTGTTCACCTATAGTTCCAACTGTCCAGCCACCCATTTTTTTCATTCCAGCTTGTTGTTATTATTGCAACTCCTTCCCTTCGCTGCTGTTGTCCTTCTCCCTTGCCGACAGCCCATAACCGCACTCTCAGCTACTTCCACGTTGTGCAGCCCCCTCTTTCTTGCTGCCCCTGCCCAGGACAGCAGTCCATTTGTCGTTCTTCCAGCTTTGCACCTCCCCCCACAGTTACCCACACACCTTTTCTTCCGCCACATCTTCCAGTCTTTTCCCCACCCTTTGCTACTTTGCCAGAGGACCAAACCCTCGCCCATCACCTTCACCATCCCGAGATTCACCCTAGTTTGAGCATTTGTGTTGTGTCTGTTGCTATTTCTATTTCCATTTGTGAGATTGTATTTCCCTATTTTGAATTCAGCAATAATATTTAATTTTCCTATTAGTGTTTAAGTTTAAGTCCGGTATGAGTGAGCATTGACACATTAGATGGAGATGCAGGCTTCATAACCCTATGCATAGATTCCCAAATTTGGATAGTAATGGCTGTCCGTAGAAAAGATATGGTAGAGAAAGCCAGAAAATAGAGATATTCTAATGTTGGATTTAACCAGAACTGGAGATAATACTGTTTCTTAAACTCATATATTTTCTGTAGTGGATAAATGATTTAGGCAATTGCAAATTACCAAACTATCCCCCAAACAATCAAACTTCTGATGCACACAAAAATATGATAAAAAAGACTTGAAAATTTTGTTAATACTTTGTGTATATTACAATGAAGTGCTGCAAAGCACAACACTTTTTATCAGTCAATCAAAATGTGGGTTTGAAACTTTATATAGTTTTCTCATATCTACATTTTGCTGTGCTTTAGCGCACTTTATACAATATGTAGTTACTGTTTAAGTACATCTTTTGCAACAGAACATTTTAAAGTTATTCTTTTTTTGTTGTTTCCCTTATATGTCTTTCAATCAACAGATTTAGTTTGCCAATCTGGACCTGGCTCTTGGCCTGCATCTATCTATGTCCAGGCTGCAAAGTATCCCATGGCAAACAGTGTGGCACAGGTTTCACTTTAGTATTCCATTATTATATATATATATTTTGCCTGTTTATTTGATGAGTTTACCATATGAAGTATACTGTACGTATTTTAGCGAAGTGTACTGAGTTTTGATTCATAAATGTCAAACTTATGATTTGATGCTTTTATCAGCTAATTATGAAAGATGTCATTTTTAATAAAATCATTAAATTGCATTGATTCCCATACCAATTTATTGAAGGTTTTTCATTAGCCACACCGTACCATATTGATCTGAACATTTTAATGGAGTTACTTATTTTACGATTCAGTTTGCAATGTTTTTGCTCAGAATTCTTGTACCATGGCAGCCTCTGTGCTAGAATGAGTCTAAAGATTCTTTTCTTTTTTGACAAGTTTCCTTGAACTAAGCTTGGTCTTGTTGGGGTTGTAAAAATCCATAGTTGGGTGGATCTCAATGCAATTAACTCATAAATCAATGAGCTACCAACAACCTTTCCTCTTTCCTTCTTGTCCCATGCAAGGAAGGAGTTAACTTCGAGGGATGTGGGGAGGGTCATTGGATTGCCCTCTTCTCACTAACCTCCTTTGATCTCTTTTTTTAGTGAGCATCCCATTCATTGTGTTTGATCGTGATAAGGTACCCTAATTTTTAAGCAACTCATCAGGCCATTTTTTCTTCCCTAAGTTATTAATATGTACATACCTTCATTTCTTGGCTCATTTGCATTGAATGGTTTTTCCTTTTATATGACCTTTAATTTTTTTCCTAATGACCCCAAACTTGAGCCACAAAGCATCTCAAAATTATTCTCTTCATCTTATTATCAAAATTTCAATTTTTCCACTCTATTGGACTAGTGTTTAAATCAGCAAATTGAGTTTTTTAGTTCATCGATGTGAGACATTTCCAATGGTGGTGACAATCCAGGCCAGGCCACCATAGCTGGCCGCACGGGCCCACCCTTGTTTGGGTGGGTTGAACTGCAACGTGGGGATGGGATCATCTAACTTTTTAATAAAGGGATTTGCAATGTTGTTCATCTATTTTTGATAAGAACTAGTATTTTGGCATAATCTAAATAAGGATTAGAATACCCCCCTAAATATAGAAATAACCCAATTTTTTCCATATTTGTTGGATTTTGAATTGTTGGATTGATGGGTAATTCCAAATATTTAGTTGCCATTTAATCTCCTTAATGATTGCTTCTTGTGTTATCAAATATGTCCTGTTCTAATCTTTGGAGGACAATCTCAGCTACCTCAGTGGCCGGCCTTACCTTTCTGTCAGTTTATATATCATCTTAAGGTTGTGCCGACCTGAAGAGGATTGACCCGACAGTTCTTTACATCAATGTGGGCTCTAAAAATCCCCTCATTATGGTGTTGATTATTTGAGTGATTTTATTCAAATTTTGTACAACGTAGATTGAATATTGTATAAGACACTATCCAAGGATTTTGCTTTCCTTTGGTGACTTTATAATATAGTTCATGATTTTCCATAGATGCATCGTCCTATAATTAGTTACCATTCTCAATTACAAGAAAGAACCTTCGATCTATGCTAATCAATATGCTCTATAATTTTTTTCTTTAGTAGTAACAATTTGGATTAGAGGAAGGAAACATATGTCATTCGTGGCTTAAAGTGAATGTCGGTGGTATGATTATAAGTCCAGTTAAGATCTCATGCTTTCATTTTCTCTATTTTTCATGGAGCATATTTTTGTTTAGTTAATGGATGTATTCAGTTGAACTTTTATCAATGGATCCTTGCTAGAAATTTTAGATTCTGCCGTATAAGGGGACTTTTTAAGCTTAAGATGAAAACTCGAAGGGGCAACTTTAAGCTAACTACTGTTAACAGAGGCTTTCATGATGGTAGTATAGTGATAAAATTTTGAGCAAATTAAATTGAACTTCTATTTTATTAATAGGTCCCTTTCATCAGAGTTGATTTCAATCACCTCCACGACCTATCCAATATTTTTCTTAAAATTATTTATAGCTTTTGTCAATGTCTATTTTAATTCCAAGAATCATTTTTTGCTTCCACTAGGATTTTATTGTCAAATTTTATTTGACAATTATTTTTGAGATTGTTAATTTTCTCGATGTTGGCCCCTACAATGAACATGTTTTTTGTGAATGTAAGATAATGCAATATTTTCCAATTCCTCTGTTCAACATTGCATATGTGAAAGTAAATCATGTTCATGTATTCAACAAATTTTGGATATTATTGAGTGGTTTGTTTTGAACCATATAGGTTTTTTTTGGGTTTATATACTAAATTTTCTTGTTCTTATACAACAACGGCTCTGGGATATTACATATAGATATTTTTCTTTAGATTACCAGTTTTAACATCCATTTATTTTAAGTGAAAATATTATGCAGCTAGAATACTCGATATTAATCATGTATTCATTTGTTTAACCTCATGAGAGAAAATTTTAATGAAGTCAACATCTTTTGTTTGCTGGAAGACTTTCATCACTAGTTTTGCCTTATATCATTTGTTGCCATTATGCTTCTATTTGTTTTTATAGATCCATTTATTTTGTAATTTTTATACCATTAGATAGTTATCAGTATATTTGTATTATTTTTTTGCAGAGATTATCTTTTCATTGTTGGCTGTCACTTAGATAAAATTGTAATTAACTTTATAGTATTCATGTTTAGCTGCATCGTTAGTCGCAAGTAATATAGGGAAGGAATTATCGATTAACAGGCTTTGAGATTTTTTATGATCTTTTGACTCATTCCTGTTGGTACCGGCTGAGGCTGATTTTGATATTTTTGGTGTCTCCTATCTATTATTAAAATAATAAACTCTTTTAATTCACTTTACTTTTTAGTAATGGTCTCTCTCAATCCTATCTAGGCAGTCATTATATGTTTGGTTATTTTGAAAATAGTGTAAATGGTTTTTATTATATTTTAATCTTCATCATAACAGAATTTTTGACCAAATTCATTCTTCATTTTGCCAGTAAAATATTATTATTTTTTATTTTTGGTCAAGTTTATTTCATTCATTATTTTTATCTATATGCATGCAAGAATGACAATAAAAATTTTTCAAATGTGAAGCATGCTTTCTTTTCACCCCAGGCTTCTTTAGGATGCCCAAAATGAAGAGCTATAGATGGCCTAATTGATAAGGCATGCTGCTATATGAACTATATTAGCCTAAAGTATATTCGATAGTCATGCATGAGTCTCATGATTCTCGCTCTTTCACTCATAATTTTTTTATTTACTCTTTAGTGACTTTTGATGTGAGTTATTTTGATAAACTTTTTAATGAAGTTTCTGAAAATACGATCGACCTTAGTGATTTTAATATCGTGAATAATAATAAAACGTTTCATTTTTACCATCGCATTAGTAAAAAAGGAGTTGAGGAGGCTTTAAAGAAAACCAAGGGTGGAAAGTTTGTAGGACCTAATGATATCCCAATTGAAGTGTGGAAATATTTAGGAGATTTGGGAGTTTCTTGGCTTACTAAACTCTTTAATTTTATTTTAAAAACTAAAAAGATGCCTGAGGAGTGAAGGAAAAGTATTTTGGTCCCATTTTTAAGAATAAGGGGATGCACAAGAGTGTGCAAATTATAGAGGAATTAAGTTGATGTGTCATACTTTAAAGTTATGGGAGAGGGTAATTGAATTTAGGTTAAGACGCATTACAAAGTTTTCTCATAATCCATTTGGATTTATGCCGGGCAGGTCTACTATGGAAGCTATACATTTATTTAAAGGTATGATGGAGAAGTTCAGAGATAATAAGGAGAATCTACATTTGATTTTGATTGATTTAGAAAAAGCTTCCGATAAGTTTCCAAGAGATATCCTTTGGAGAGTTCTTGAGAAGAAAAGTGTTGATATGACTTATATTCAACTCATTAACGATATGTATACTAGAGTTGTTACTTGTGTTCAAACTGAATGAGGATTGACCAAATATTTTTCTATTTCTGTTGGATTACATCAGGGATCGGCTTTAAGCCCATAACTTTTTGCTTTAGTTATGGATGGTCTTACTGGACATCTACAGGAGGATGTACCTTGGTTTATGTTTTTTGTTGTTGATATCTTTCTCGTGGATAAAACGAGAGAAAAAGCCCAAGAAAAACGTAGTAACTCTGGTGACAGAAGTGTGACTTTGGGTGATCAAATTATTAAATGGTGTGAACGATTTAGATATCTTGGGTTCCGTTGTTCAAAGCGATGGTGATATAGTTGGGGAAGTTTATAGTAGAATTCAAGTTGGTTGGTTGAAGTGGAGGAATGCTTCGGGCCTTTTGTGTGATAGAAAAGTACCGCTTAGACTGAAAGGAAAATTTTATAAGACGGTGGTGAGACCTGCAATGCTCTATGGCGCTGAATGTTGGCCTTTAAAAGAGAAGCATAATAATAAGTTAAGTGTTGCCGAGATGAGAATGATTAGGTGGATGAGTGGCTTTAAACTTAGAGACAAAATGCGAAATGAATATATCCATGATAGGGTTGGTGTAGCTCCTGTGACGGACAAAATTAGAGAAAGCCGTCTTAGATGGTTTGGTCACATTAAACATCGACCAGCTGATGATCCGATTAGGAGAGTAGATGTTTTAGATTCAACTTGTGTTAAGGCAGAGGTAGACCTAGGAAGACTTGGGCTTATTGTATAAAAAATGATCTTAATTTACTAGAACTAAATGAAAATATGACACTAAATATGACACAATGGAGAAAAAGGATTCATGTAGCGGACCCCACGTAGTGAGATTAAGGATTTGTTATTGTTGTACTCTTTAGTGACTTTATTTTATTGAGTTCCTGTGATCATTATTATCGTAAGAATCCTATCAATAGTGCAGTAATTATTGAATTCTACGTTTATACTCTCTATCATTGTCGAATCCTGGCAATTTAATATTTTTGTTGGTCACTGTTGCAGTCAAGCATATTCATCTTACAAAATTATTAAAAATATCAGATTTATTTTGAATAAATGAATCTCATA